CTCTAGGTATCAGATCATATCATCAACAAAGGACAGTTTGACCTCCTTTGCTCCCATTTGGATGCCCTTTAGTTCTTTCTCTTACCTAATTGTATTGGCTAGAACTTCCAGCACTATGTTGAATAGTAATGGTGATAAAGGACAACCTTGTCTGGTTCCTGTTCTAAGCGGAAAAGCTTTCAGTTTTACTCCATTCTGTAAAATATTAGCTGTGGCTTTGTCATAGATAGCTTTGATCAGTTTAAGAAATGTTTCACCTATGCCTATACTCTTCAGTGTTCTAATTAGTAAAGGATGCTGGATTTTATTGAATGCTTTTTTGGCATCTATTGAGAGAATAATATGGTCTTTGTTTTTGCTTCTGTTGATATGGTAAATAATATTTATGGACTTGCATATGTTAAATCAGCCTTGCATCCCTGGGATGAAAACTACTTGATCATGATGTATGACTTTTTGATGATAAGTTGCAATCAATTGGCTAGAATTTTATTGAGAATTTTTGCATCTATATTTATTAGTGAAATTGGTCTGAAGTTCTCCTTTTTAGTTGGGTCTTTTCCTGGTTTAGGTATCAGGGTGATGTTTCCTTCATAAGACATGTTGGGGAAGATTCCTTCCTCCTCAACTTTTTGGAATAATATTGGCAGTATTGTATAAGCTCTTCTTTAAAGGTTTGATAGAATTCAGGTGTAAAGCCATCTGGACCAGGGCAATTTTTTTGTTGGGAGATTTTTATTGTTTCTTTGATTTCAGGGCTTGACATTGGTCTTTTCAGGAGATCTATTTCTTCTTGGGTAAGTCTAGGGAGATGGTGTGATTCCAAATATTGATCCATTTCCTTCACATTGTCAAATTTCTGGGCTTAGAGTTTCTGGTAGTACTCAAAGCTAACCTCTTGTATCTCTGTGGCATCTGTTGTTATTTCCTTTTTGTCATTTCTGATTGAGGTAACTAGAGATTTTACTTTAAAATAGACAATCTTAAAATTAACCAAAGTTGCTGATTTTCAGAATTTTTTCAAATTTTTCAACAAAGCCTCCACTCACATCAAAACAACTCTGAAAAACATGAACAGAGTTGTAGAATTCACACAATCTGCCTTCAAGATTCATTAGAAAGTTATAATAGTTAAACAGCATGTTATCCTCAAAGGAATAGGCTCATAGATATTCAGACCAGGAAAGAGTAGTTGGACTAGAAACAAACTTACAACATAGTCAACCAATTTTTGACAAAGGTGCCAAAGTGATTCAATAGAGAAAGAATACTTTTGACAACAAATACTACTAGAATAATTGGATGTCCTTATGCCAAAAACAAACAAACAAAAAAAAAAAAAACTCAGTACATTTTTCACACCTTATACAAAAATTAACTCTAAATAGATCATGGACTTAAATGTGAAAGATAAAGAATTTTTTGATCTAATACTGAAAGCACAGTGCACAAAAGTTGATAAACTGAACTTGACTAATCTTTAAAATTTTGATTCTTCAAACAATAGAGAATACATTGGCAGTTTCTTAGAAAGTTAAATACTTTGGTGTCTAAATACAATTCTCCAATGAAAGAATCAAGACTTCTTGGGTAAATGGTTAATTCTAGGATTGGGATAGGAAAAGTATATTACAAGCTTGCAAGCATCCAATGATGTCATAAACTAAAAAAGTATTTACAAAAAAATATTGGAGCATGGCAGAAAGAATAACCTGCAAAATAAAAATTCATGAGTACATACTAAAACCAATAAATGTTTGATTAAGTAAGTGAATGGTAGAGAAGAAAGAATTCTTTCTTAAAATATAATTCTAATTAATAAAGGTAAAAGGAATGAGGGAAATAAAACATTAGAACACCAGAGTAATGTAATAATTGCTACAAACACCATCCACTGATGCATATCCAAATTAGTGGATAAGAGTTTTAGGAACTAAAACTTTTAGAAGTGATTTGCATAGCTTCAATGCATCTCCTCTAGAATGTCACTGTGGTGGTTTTTAAATAGATCTACAAACTCTTTGGGATTTCTGCCATTAAGAGGTGAAGTTTATTTTAGCTTCCCTTGAGTATGAGCCAGATTTAGTGACCTACTTCTAATGGATATAGCGTAAAAGGTAAAAAAGACTAACTTTATGATGAAGAAACCTGGCAGACACCATCAGAACTAAGTGATCAAATTAACATCACCAAATGTAAGATGTCGATACTGTGTGCCCCTGCAGTGACAGGGCACATCCCTTTTTTCCCAAAATTCATAACCTTAGTGTAATCACAAGAAAACATAATACAAACCCAAGCCAAGGAATATTCTACAGAAAACTTGACTGGGACTCTTCAAAACCATCAAGGTCACCTTATCTCTATAATAAATTAATAAATAAATAAAAATTTTCAAAAATTAGCCAGACATACTGGCAAGTACCTGTAGTCTTAGCCATTAGGGAAGCTGAGGTGGGAGGATGGCTTGAGCCCAGCCTGAGCAACAGACCAAGGCCCTCACTCTAAAAAGCAAACAAACAAATAAAACTTTCAAAGGCATGAAAGAAACAAGCAAGAATCTGTCTCAGTTTGTAGGAGAAACAGGATGATTGATCTTGGAATAGAAAAAGGACATTAGTGGAAAAACTGGAAAAATCCAAATGAAGCCAATAGTTTAGCTAATAGTATTGTATCAATGCTAATTTATTAGATTCAATTGTTGTACCATGGTTATATAAGATGTTAAGCATTAAAGGAATGCATATGGAGGTCGGATGCAGTGGCCTATAATGCTAGCACTCTGGGAGGCTGGGGTGGGTGGATTGCTTGAACTCAAGAGTTCAAGACCAGCCTGAGCAAGAGTGAGGCCCCATCTCTACTAAAAATAGAAAAATTAGCTGGGCATTGTGATGAGCACATATAGTCTCAGCTACTCAGGAGGCTGAGGCAGGATCATCACTTAAACTGAACAATCCTCTCACCTCTGCCTCCCAGAGGGCTCAAATTACAGATGTGAACTACTGTTTCCCACCTCCCCTCATGCTCTTGACAGCCTGAATCAGCAGAGGTCAAAGAAAGGTACTGGTAAGAAAAGCCCCCTTTAAAATGAAATCAGAGGACCTGACATGCTCCAGGCCTACTGGAACATGTGGGTAGAAACATCCAGAGCAGCAGTTGTTTATCACACTGCACAAAGGAAATACGTGGAGTTCAGGAATACAGATTTTAAAATGACACGGCAAAATTCATAATAACTTGTCTAAAATAGTTATCAAGCCAGAAAAACTTTCATAATTTTTGCCTTGTTTAAAAAAGCATTAAGTTAAAAGTAAATGTTATAAAAATTTTCAGAGATATCTCACTCACTAACCCTCACATTATTAGAATTACTTCATTATCATTATTTTATATATTCATAAAATTTACTCTGTATTGGAGAGTCTGATTTAGCAGACTGTGTGCCTTATGTTTACATTTTTAAAAATCAGAAATGCATTTCCCACGATAAAAGTCATTTTTCTTTTACCTACTTTGTTTTTAATATCCCAAATTTGGATGGATTAGGACATTATTTTTACCCTAGAACTTGGTTAGCCTAGCTTGTAAGGAACTGGAAAACTTTTCCATCAACTCTTATTTTCCTATTGTTTTTTAAATAAGGTAAATGTGTATGTGTATAATCATTTATGCATAATTAAAGAAATGTATTATGTCTCAAGTAATTTTTTTCTTTATTTTTTGAGACAGAGTCTCATTATGTCACCCTCCATAGAGTGATATATCTTCATAGCTCACAGCAACCTCAGAATCCTGGGCTCAAGTGATTCTCTTGCTTCAGCCTCCCGAGTAGCTGGGACTTCAGGTGCCCACTACAACATCTTGCTATTTTCTTGTTGTAGTTGGCATTGTTGTTTACCTGGTGCAGGCCAGGCTCAAACCCATCAGCCTCAGTGCATGTGGCTGGGACCATAACCACTGTGCTATGGGCACCGAGCCTCGAGTAATTTATTTTGCAAAGAAATTCCTATCTCTTGAAAAATCTGTGTCTTCCATTATTAGGGGGACTTTACCTAACAAATATAAGCAGTATAACCTGGTTCTTTGTACCCTCAATGATTCTGCAACAATTTAAAAGAAAAAGAAAACCTGTCTCTTCTTACTTTATTATTCTTTCCTTAAATTGCAAGGACATTGTAAAAAGATGCCAGGAGAAAAAATGTCGCAGAAGAATCCACTGGTCTAGGCAGCATAACACAGTGGGTAGTAATATGGATTCTGGGACCAGGTAGATGACTTGGACTTGAATGTCAACTCTATCACTGTCTAGTTATGTGACTTTGGACAAGTTATTTAACCTTGGTATGCCTCAGTTCCCTCATCTGAAAAATGGAGATAATTAAAGTACATGCCACATAGGGTTGTTGTGAGGTTTAAATATTACATGTTAATTATAACATATAAGTGTTATATATATATATACATATATACACAGGTGTCAAAAATGTATACACATTTTAAAAGATGTTCTGTATGTATTACTTTTCAAAGTTGAACTGAAGGTTCTGTTACTTGTCAAATGTACTTAGACATGATACACACATCCATTTTACCTACAATTATTTGAACACTGCTTAGCACAAAATAAGAAGTATACATATGTGTGTATACACATGTATATATATAATCATTTCTTGAGATAACAAATTAAAATATGTTTAAATGGTGATTCATTGGGCCAATATACAAATTAACTGAAGCCACCAAAGAACAAGGCCTTCAAGAGCATTAGTGATTTATAAAGGACCTTCTACCCAAGTGCTTCTGCAGGCCCCCTGGAGACATACTGAACAAACACCAATACGTCTGAAAATAGAGAGGGATAGGAACCAAATCCTTCTGTCATTTGCATCTCTAGTTAAGAATTCTGAGATAAACAAATGAAGAGAATTTGGAAATGATGCATCAACAGCTTCCTCATATGACATAAATAGTGGGAGCTATTAAGGATCTACCAATCAATGTCACAGAGGCATTTTCCTACAGAAACCAAAGAGGAGCAATATCTCAAGATGACTGAAGCCAACATTCCCTCAGAAGAGGAATTGTCACCATTTCTCACCTTCTTACTTTTAACAGTTATCGGTACTGAGTGCCTCATTGGTATCATTGCAAATGGGTTCATCACAGCTATAAATGCAGCTGAATGGGTTCAGAATAAGGCAGTTTCCACGAGTGGTAGGATCCTGTTTTTCCTGACTGTATCTAGAATAGCTCTCCAAAGCTTCATGACGGTTGAAATTACCCTCACTTCAGTCTCCCTAAGTTTTTATTATGAAGATGCTGTATGTGATGGATTCAAAGTAAGTTTCATGTTCTTAAATTTCTGTAGCCTGTGGTTCGCTGCCTGGCTCAGTTTCTTCTACTTTGTGAAGACAGCTAATTTCTCCTATGCCCTTTTCCTCAAGCTGAAGTGGAGAATTTCTGGACTGATGCCCTGGTTTCTGTGGCTATCAATGTTTATTTCCTTCAGCTACAGCATGCTCTTCTGCAAAAATATCTACACTGTGCATTAGAATAATTCTTTTCCTATCCCCTCCCCCAATTCCACCAAGAAAAAATACTTCTCTGAGACCAATTTGGTCAACCCGGCTTATTCGTACAACCTGGGGATGTTACTTCCTCTGATCATGTTCATCCTGGCAGCCATCCTGCTGATCATTTCTCTCAAGAGACACACCATACAGATGGGCAATAATGCCAGAGGCTCCAGGGACCCCAGCATGGAAGCTCACATGGGGCCATCAGAGCCACCAGCCTCTTCTTCATTCTCTATATTTTCAATGCAGTTGCTCTGTTTCTCTATATATCCAACATCCTTGACACTTACAGTTTCTGGCATATTTTATGCAAAATCATCATAACTGCCTACCCTGCTGGCCACTCAGTTCTGCTGATTCAGAACTACCCTGGGCTGAGAAGAGTCTGGAAATAGCTTCAGGCTCAAACTCATGGTTAACCAAATGAGTAGTCTCTGTGACCAGCACCCAAAGAAGCCACAGGACCTGCCCCAACCATCTCTGCTGTTCCCTCACTTAGATCTATCTCTTCCGTCCTCTTCCCTAAACCTAATCTGACTCTTTCCCCTGATGTGACTTTTTGTATAGAAGATTGATTTTAATTCTCATTTATGTCATGGGCACAATCTCAGTGATCTTTGTCATATTCTTTTCCAGAGCCCTCTATTTCTACCTCCCCCTGCTCTATCTACACAATGATTCTAAACATAGACTACATATGAGAACCTCCAGGGCTGATTTTTGAAAACATCAATGTCCAGGCCCAGCCTCAGACAAATTAAATCAGAATCTCTGGTATTGGAACTTAAAGACAATTTGCCAACTTCTCCAGGTGATTCTGATGTACAGCAGGGCTGATATAGCCTCCAGCATAGAAGGTTCTGTAACTTGAGTTCCTGAAAACTTCTCTCTTTTCCCCTCCACATGTCTTTTAAACAGACTCGGATTACTTAAGAAGCTTCCTAGCCAGCAGCTGGGAATGCATTTTGTCTTTATCCTGCAAAGACATAACATAAATAATTTTAAACTATGAAAATTACAGTATATAATACAACCTTCAACCTAAATATTACCATCTAAATTTTTTTCTATAGATATAGTTATATTGGTTTTATATGTATACTGTATGTATGCAAAATGATATTTTCAAGAGAAGCTTTATTGCAGCATTGTTCATTAACAAGGAGACTTGAATATCTGAAATGAATATTATAGTAACATTTTTAGATGAAGTAGATGCATATATCCTGCGATGAAAAAAATTTCCAATGTGTTGCTAAGTACAAAAAGTAGAACTGTTTTATGATTCCGTTTATATCTCTCCCTCTTTTTTTCTTTACAGAGTATACATATACTTGTGTGTATACGAAGTTTTTGGAAAGATATAGCAAAAACAATTAGCAGAGGACTTCTGAGTAGTGGCATTAGGTATCTGGGAATAAAGGAAGTATTGACACTTTATTTTATCTTTCTGCCTAGTTTAAACTACTTAGAATGTTTAGCATGCACTAATTTAAGCATTTTAAATAATTTGTATTTTTTATTAGAAAGAAAATCAGTAAGTAGAAAAGATTTGAAGGAGAGGATTATGGACCTTAATTTGTTGGTTGCATCTCTCATTGTTGGTTTTTATTTTTTAAAAAATGTAAACCTCGTAAACTAAGCATCTCACTCTTTTATCACTGCCTCTTCCTTTTCCAGTATATTTGTTCAAAGGCTGCCATGGCAACATCACAGGCCGTCTATCTTTTAACGTTCAATATTCTCTGTCCCTCTGCCTTTCCTCTCTTCACTTTATTTCATCCTCAGTTTAGATTACCAGTTAATTGTTATGCTCACTCTCAAAACTATTTTCAGTTTTTATAAATAAAATGACCTGTGTCTGAGGTTTACTTTAAAATAATCCAGCAGAGGGCAAAGGAGTGAATGCTGATTTTTTTTTCTTTCAAACAAGATTTCAGATACATGGAGTATTTATTATTTAAGGATATATTTGAAATTTTACCTAATATAGTTTTCATATGAATTAATCATACAATATTCTGATTTCCTGAGCCATCCCTTTCTTCAACTCCTAAATACCACATTTTGATGAACCTGAGTGTCTAACACTCTCCTGTTTGCTTCTAAGCAGCTGAGTACTATTTGAGAGTGCTTTAGAATCAGAAGAACTTATGTTCAGTGGAAAGATGGCTCCAGTTGTCCATCTTGCCTCTGCCCCCTGAAGTAGTTTTTGTATTCACTTTAATTATCTTTTTTGATCTTTAATTTATTAAATCAATATTTCATGAGTTATGCTTTCCTTAAACTTATTTTGTAATTATTCTTTTACATTCGGTTTAGATTTATAACTTTTATTTTTATTATTTTATTTTTAATTAATGTGTAATGTGTAATGATACATGTTTATGGGATACACAGTGTTATCTTGATATATGTACACAATGTATGATGATCAAGTCAGAAAAATCATCATACTTATCTTCTCAAACATTTATCATTTCTTTGTGTTGGAAACATTCAAAATTCTCTCCTTTAGCTATTTAAAAATAAACAATAAACTATTAACTATAGTCACTCTATAGCACTATAGAACTCTAGAAATTATTAGTTCTATCTAGATTTATAATTTTTAAAATTATGTCTTCTTTATATCTTATTTATTCATCTAGGCCCTTTCTTGTTAGGTTGATGTAAAGCTAGTGCAGGGGGCAGAGGCAAGATGGCCAACTGGACCCATCTTTCCACAGAGGCTTCTGTCCAGAGGGAGAGTTAAAAGACAGAAGTTTAGCAAGTAAGCTGATGGTTTGGAGCTGAGCCAAGAGAGATGGTTAAAGAATGCACATCAACCCTTCTGAGGTGAGCTGCAACCCCAAGGAAACAAACAATAGGTATAAAATCCATCACCAAGCAGATGGGAGTCCCCTCCCTCATGAGAACAGCTCATGGTATACTTTCTACAAACAAGTGAACAGAGTTCAGATCTCCTGCTATTTTATCCCATGGGAGAGACCCTCTAAAAGCCAGAACTCCTTTCCTAGTGTGCCATGGCACTCTCCCACCAGGCATAAAACTGTGTAAAACTGTATATATTCTCTACCTGTAATTATGAACTCTGAGTACTCCCCTCCACTTTCACCTAGAGGTCTGGAAAGCTGTCCCCCATGGAGTCCAGATACTTGGGCATTTTCTCAAGAGGTGTGTACATGGCATGGGCTGTTGCAGATCTGTGTGGAATCTGCAGCATGGGTGAAAGGAGAAGACAGTCATGAGATAATGAAGAAGAACTTCTCAGACATGCCAAGAGATTCTGAAATTCTGATAGCAGACATCTTCTAGGCACGTTATAATTAACTTGGCCAAAGTTAATGTGAAGGAGAAAATTCTGCATGCAGCCAGACATAAGAAAACCACTACCTACAAGGGGAAGAAGATTAGAATGACTGCAGATCTCTATGCTGAAAACTTTCAAACTAGAAGTGGGTGGTCATCGACTTTTAATCTCCTAAAACAAAATAACTTTCAACCCAGGATCCTGTATCCTGCTATAATGAGCTTCATTTATGATGGAGAAACTAAATATTTTAATGACATTTGCAAGTTGAAGAAATTTGCCATAACTAAACCAGCTCTCTAGGATATTCTCAGACCTATCCTCCATAATGACCACCACAATCACCACCAAAGTAAACTCACTCAGAAACTTTTGATCAAATTCCAACTTCCACAGTGGCAAAAGAGTTAAAAATGTCCACTGGACTTTTGAAAAACTCAATGCAAAATTCTACCAGGCTTATCAACATTTACAATTAATGTGACTGGTTTAAATTGTCCTCTAAAGAGGCACAATTTGCTTGACTGGATACAAAAACTCAAACCAGATATCTGTGGCATACAAAAATATCATCTTACCTTAAAAGATAAATATAGACTCAGGGTGAAGGGATGGTCATCTATATTTCAAGCAAATGGAAAGCAGAAAAAAGCAGGTGTTGCAAATTTATTCACAGATACAGTAGGCTTTAAACCAAAAATTAAGGAAAGGTAAGGATGGTCACTTCATATTTGTTAAGGGTAACACTCAATACAATATGATGAGATTTCAATTATGCACCTAACCAGAATGCACCTCACTTTCTAAGAGATACTTGATAACAGATATAAGCAACTTGATTTCCTCCAGCACCATAATAGTCTGAGATTTTAAGACTCCTTTGGCAGTGTTGGATAGATCCTCCAATAAGTAGCTAAGCATAGAAATTTTAGACTTAAACTTAACCATTCAACAATTAGATTTAACAGACATCTTCAGAACATTTCATCCTAACAAAACTGAATACACATTTTTCTCATCAGCCCATGGAACATCCTCCAAAATTGATCACTTCTTAGGTCACGAGTCTAACCTCAGCAAATTTAAAAGAATAGATATTGTGTCTTGCATCTTCTCAGATCATCATGGAATAAAAGTTGAACTCAGTAACAACAGGAATCTACAAACTCAAACAAAAACATGGAAACTAGCCTTATGTTGAACAATAGTTGGGTCATAGGTGAGATTGAGAAGGAAATTACCAAATTTTTGGAACAAAATTATAATGAAGACATGAATTACCACAACCTCTGGAATATTGCAAAGGCAGTCCTACGAGGGAAATTTATAGCATTGCAAGCCTTCCTCAAGAGAACAGAAAGAGAGGAAGTTAACAACTTAATGGGACATCTCAAGCAACTGGAAAAGGAAGAACATTCCAATTACAAACACAGCAGAAGAAAAGAAATAACCAAACTTTGAGCCAGAATTAAGTGAAATTGAAAACAAACGAATTATACAATAGATCAATAAATAAAAAAGTTGGGTTTTTGAAAAGGGCAAGAAAATAGATAAACCTTTGGCTAACCTAACCAGTATAAAAAGAGTAAAATCTCTAATTTCATCAGTCAGAAATGGTAAAGATGAAATAACAACAGATACCTCAGAAATTCAATAAATTCTTAATGAATATTACAAGAAACTCTATTCTCAGAAATACAAAAATCTGAAGGAAATAGAGCAATACTTGGAAGCACGCCACCTTTCTAGACTTAGCCAGAAAAAAGTGGAAATGTTAACAGGCCTATATCAAGTTCTGAAATAGCATCAACCATACAAAATCTCCCTAAAAAGAAAAACCCGGAACCAGATGGCTTTACATCAGAATTCCACCAAACCTTTAAAGAGGAAGTAGTACCTATATTACTCAACCTTTTCCAAAATATAGAAAAAGAAGGACTACTACCCAACTCCTTCTATGAAGCAAACATTACCTTGATCCCCAAACCAGGAAAAGTTCCAACAAGAAAAGTAAATTATACACCAATATCACTAATGAATGTTGATGCAAAAACATTGAACAAGATCCTAGCAAACAGAATCCAGCAACACATCAAAAAAATTATA